TTCCATGTGATTTATGACTGCCTAGTCCTCAAACAGGATTTCTAATTTAGTAAGAGTTTGAAAAATACATTCTGGGGGAAAAAAAATGAAAGCACAATTAGTTCTATCAACTAGTTCTATATTTTATGGATAAGGCATAGCATTATCCTCTGATAAAGTTTGAAATATGCRGGCTTAAAAATGAAAATACATTCGTTGCTCATAAGAGAGAATGACAAAATAATTGCTCTGTAATAGGAAGAAGGCAATTTCCAAGATTATTCCATGRGATCATTCTGTAAGCAGCACATTTCTCACTAGAGGGAGCTCAGCACCCACCAATAAATGGCAAGGCAAACGGGATTAAAATGTCATTTCACTTTAGGGGAATACAATCTGGGTAAATACGATAYGAATTTGCAGAAGTTGGGGAATTTGGGGTGTGCCAATTTTCTCCAACAGTTACACTGTAGTTGTAAATCACATGAATGAATGATGCAAAATCTTATAATAACCAGCCAATCAATTAATAAGCTAGCATTGTAAATAAGTGTAAGAGGACAAATAAGAGATAATATTATCTTTATCCTCTGGAGGGGCAGATTCTAGTATTCACAAGAAAGAGGATTTATATAAGGCAGTGATAAATATGGATAGGGTACTATACCTGGGAAAGCTGTTTGGAGAAATAAAGTACTTGCACTCTGGCCACTCTGATCCAGTCTCCATGTGTAACCAAGTGGGGCAAGATCCACTTAAGTACTGGCTTTTTTGTTTGGTACATTTGAGAAATGGGTCAAGCCAATGTGTTCGGTGTCTGCTTCTCACCTGTGATCCACTTTATCTCCTTTGACATTCAAGGCTCAAAAACTATGGAGCCACCAGCCCCTCCATATYTACCACCCTGACCTCAGCCACCAAACCCTTCATTTCTAGCAGTGTTARGACTGTGTATGGAGTATAGGTTTTTTAGTGACTTAGAAAAAAAAAATACCACCATATCTTAAAACCCTCTAATCCCCTCACTCTCTGTAACTCRGAACTTTTCACTGGCCAACATTTCTCCACAGGATCCAGAACCACAGCCAACCCCACCCTCTACTCCAGATTCTGAAGTCTTTCTCTACCACTTTACATTCTGCATATCTCTCTTTAACCTAGACTAGGGTTCTAAAATATCTCAACAAGTATACCCCATATATTGTATGGGATGTACTTACAGTAAAAAAT